TTAGTTGTTGATGGACCTTTATTTTAGTCATTTATTTATATGTGATGCTGAGAATTGAACCCAATGCCTCAACATGCTAGGAAAGTGTTCTATCACTGAGCCACAACCCCAGCCCCTACTTACCCACTTCTAAGACTAAAATACAAACTATATCCAGCATCTTTTATATATTTTTTTCAGTTGTAAATGGACATAATACCTTTATTTTATTTTATTTATCTTTATGTGGTGCTAAGGATGGAACCCAGTGCCTCGTAAGTGATAGGCAAGCACTCTACCACTAAGCTACAACCCCAGCCCTATCCAGCATCTTTTACTTTCTTCTTCGACTTTGCTACCCATTCCTGAAAAGAATTCCCTGAAACTCCTAAGAAGCAGACTTCTCTTATGCAGTCACTTCCATGCTTTAAGGACCACAGATCTATGTAATGAAAGAGGCAGAGAAAGGGAGGATGTGATACTGTTTGTTGTTTGTGTTCAGAGAAGTGTTMAAATAAGAAAAGGGCGTATCCCTTCCAGTAATGGCTATTTTTCTTAAATACCTTTACAGTTGTCATCTTTGGACTGTTCTCAGATACTGAAAGACTTTAACTCCTTCTGCCCTGCCACAAGTATGGCATTAACATCCTTCTTTCCTTTGCCCTTATGACTGAACTGCACAGACTATAAAGCATATCCTTGTCTACTAACTATGCAATTCAATCCTGTATTCTATGCTCTTTCTTCTTCACAATTACAGAACAGAGAGTTTCCTCTTTTCTTAGAAGGCACCTTTTGTATATATCTCTATCAAAGTCTCATGCAGTTTTGTTGGTATTTTTAAGTGATTTCCCTACCAAAATCAGAGCTCCCTGAAAGCTGGCACAGTATCCTGCTCACCTCTGCAGCCCTTGCCCAGGGTAGGCACAAAATATATGTCAGCTGAACTGTATGCAGGCTTGTTGGATTTGAAAGAGATTTCAGAAATAGAATCAACAGGACTATTCGGAATTGTGATATAAAACTGGTAGTGTTGCCTTAGAGTAAAAAACAGTTAATAGTTTGTGCAATAACAGCACAGATATTTAAATCATTCAGATGACATAATATATGGCAGCCTGAGATAATGGCACTTATTAGATGTGCAACATTAGAAAAAAAACTTTTGGGCTAGGGATGTGGCTCAAGCGGTAGCGCGCTCGCCTGGCATGCGTGCGGCCCGGGTTCGATCCTCAGCACCACATACAAACAAAGATGTTGAGTCCACTGAAAACTAAAAAATAAATAAATATTTTTTTAAAAAAAAGAAAAAAAACTTTTGATTCCAGATTTTACCTTCTGTTAAACCAGAAAGTTTTCTCAAGCCTTTCTACCTAATCACTATTCTAACACCTATTTATTCTAATCACAAAATTTAATGAAGCTCAAATGAAAATGCATACAAAAATCATTATATTTAAACAATGCATATGTATAGAGACRTTATGAATAAAGTTCAGATAACAGAGCTTATTATCAAATAATATATGTAGATCATGAAAATTTTCAGTCATAGGAATACGTGTAAAAACCTACTATTTATTCAACTCATCCATCAAAAAATTTGTGATTATGTATAAATTTAATTACTAAGTGATTCTCCAGTTTCAAGCTGTTCTTTTTAATGCAAAAGCAGGGTTTTTGTTTTGTTTTATATATTTACTTTTTAGTTATAGTTGGACACAATATCTTTATTTCACTTATTTACTCTTTTGTGGTGCTGAGGATCGAACCCAGGGTCCAGTACTTGCGAGGCGAGTGTTCTAGCGCTCTACGGCTGAGCTACAACACCCCCCCACCTCATCTCCCCCCCCCAGCAGGTTTTAACCACAAATTCCATGCTGATCTCCCTGAAGCACAGATATCACAAGGTTCTGCAACACGCTCTGCAGCAAAAAGCCCAAAGGAGGCACCAACCTGCTTTTTAGGACAGAGTTGGCTGATATATAACCAAAGCTGCAGTTGAAAGCACAGGTAAGCACAAAGAAAATTCTTTAACTGTATATGGCTCAGACTATCCCTATGATTAAGACCAACTACAGTCTTTCAAACCTAAAAAAAAAAAAAAAAAAGATAAAATAGACAAATAAATGTACCAATGCCACAAACACAGTTACAATCATCTTTTTTTTTAGTTTTCGGCAGACACAACATCTTTATTTGTATGTGGTGCTGAGGATCGAATGCGGGCCACATGCATGCCAGGCGAGCGCGCCACCACCTGAGCCACATCCCCAGCCCCAGTTACAATCATCTTTAAAAAAAAAAAAAAAGTACTTTCATCAAACCAGTAATTATGGAGAAAATGTAAACAAAGATTAGTTCAAAATATGCTATAGATGTCACAAATAACATCACAGATGTGGGGGTGGGTTTTTTGTTTTCTTTTGTTTTGTTTAACTTCACTTGAATTCCTAWCGTCTACCTACCTACAAGTCAACCGTCTTGAAGCAAGAAAGGCAAACAGATAATCAATATGYTGACACTACAAGACCAAGGTTTTTCAAATGTAATTTATCCAGTTAAAAAAAAAAATACAGGATAATACAATATAAATCCATAAAAAACAAATACAGGGCTGGGGTTGTGGCTCAGTGATAAGAGCACTTGACTAGCATATGTGAGGCACTGGGTTCACTTCTCAGTACCGCATATAAATAAATGGATAAACTAAAGTTCCATCAATAACTAAAAAAAAAAATACAAGCTAAGTCATGTGCCAACCAAAATAATACTACATAGGAAAACAAACCATGCACTTGTCCTCAAAAATGTTTAAGCCTTGGCTCTCACAGTTTGTAAGAGTTTCACATCTTTCTGAAGGAGAGAAAGGTGAGCTAATCAGTTGTGGGTCCTAGAAATAGTTCCTCAGAATACTTCTAGAGATGTCTAGAAATACCCAGAGATGTAAACAATAATCAGCTGGAAGCAGATAYGCATCAAGAATAAGGAACTCCCAGGATTTCCCTTTCCATGTGAAAGCAATCAACTCCTATTTTTAATCTCCCTCTGAATATCTAGTGAAATCTCTCTCTTTCTACCTCATCAAAGCAAGCTGATTTACTACTATGAAGTAACTATTTTAAAAGATTTGAATGGGATGGCACTATGATGCAGGCTTGTAATCTCAGCAGTTCCAGAGGCTGAGGCAGTAAAATTGCAAGTTCAAAGCCAGCCTCAGCAATTAAACACTAAGCAATTTAGTGAGACCCTGTCTCTAAATAATATAAAAAAGGGTTGGGGATATGACTCAGTGATTAAGTGTCCCTGGGTTCAATCCCCAGTTCCAACAAAAATAAAAGTATCTTAAAACGAAGAACTGATGATAATGCAAAAGCCCCTCAATTTCAGAGAAAAAAAAAAACTTAGAAAAATTTACATTTTCACAAATTAAGGCTAAGTCATTCAAATCTATCACAACTGGTCCACCTGATGAATATTTCTTTCTTTTTTTTTTTAGAGAGAGAGAATTTTTTAATATTTATTTTTTTATTTTTCGGTGGACACTACATCTTTATGTTGGAAGCCAAGCATAGTGGTGCATGGCTGTAATCTCAGCAACTGAAGGCTAAAACAGGAGGATCTAAGTTCAAAGCCAGCCTCAGCAACTTAGAAAGGCCSTAGGTAATTTAGGAGACCCTGTTTCAAAAATAAAAATAAAAAGGRCTGGGGATGTGGCTCCAAGCACTCCAGGATTAAATTCCCACTACCTCTCCCCAAAGAAAGTTGGTAATCATATGTAGTTGGTAATTAAGTGTATACACTGGAAAAGCCTAGAAAGGTTATTAAAAATAATTAACTCAATGTCTGCACAGATTTATAACACTCAAATCTACTTCTGTTTTTTCATTCTAAAGGATTCTGAAAGGGGGAGGGGGAACTCTCCTGGGAATCTGTCACGTTCTTCTTTTCCAATCAACAGTTTTTAATTCACTTGAAAAATGCTAGTGAAGAGGGCCTTTGGCAAGGAACTCAAGAATTTGCAACTCTGGAGACACCACCAAAGTACTGATACCAAGCTTGGAGAAAATGCTGCTTTTGTCTGAGAGGCGGCCTGTGATAAAAACAGGAACTTTACAGAGAACTGATCACAACTGCACATAAGCCTGATCACATGCCCACAACAGAGCACTGTTTCTCTCATTGTTTTCAAGGGACTTTTCTAGTAACAGTGGCTTGATTTATCCCATTTCTTTAAATTTTCAAAATAAATCCAACCCTCCTTGTACCAATCCATTGTCAAAAGAAAGAGGTCGCGAGCCAGGATTTCCATTTAATCAGTAGCCACCTCTTTCTCCCTCTTCGAAGATTCTAAAAGGTAATCAAATGCGGAAAATTCAGCCCAAAGATAGCCACCAGGAAAAAGCCCTGATGACAAAGGTGTCTAAAGGCAGCACCGTGTGTCCCTCTGGGTTAGTACCACTGCTTCCAACCTCCCTAGGACCTTCAATGTCTCCCTCGCTCCTATCTCACTTGAGTCACTGGGGAGGCACCTCGCACTTTTCGAGAAAGAAGAAATGCTGCTGCGGCTTTCCCACGTCTCTGTCTGTCTGTCTGTCTCTTTCTCTCTGGAGAAGGAGGAATGGATCAAGGCGTGGGGCCCTCCAGGAAGAAGGCAGAAAGGAGAAAGGTGTCAGCCACCCTCCTCGCAACCACCCGTCCCCCCCMCACACACACCAGCCCAGAAACCCGGGCACAGACTGGAGCTTTGTGTAGGGTTGAGGGGGCAGGGAACGCAGAAACGGCACCGGTCCAGGCGGAACCTCTCCCCCAAGCCCCGCTTGGCCCCCTCCAAGGGAAAACAATGAAAGCCACGGGAAACACTTCGCAGTGTAGAAAGGAAGGAGTACGGTATGGAGCTTGGCCAGATTCCCCGCTCCCTCGCCCCTCGCCACGCCGMTGCCAGGGCGCACTATGGTGACCGGCCTCCGGACGCCCACCGAACCCGCAGGCCCGGCGCCCGCTCCTCTCCAGGATCCTACCCTCTGAGAGCTCCAGCTCCAGTTCCGCCAGCTGCGCCCGCACTTCAGGAGGCAGCGCAGCCACTGCCGCCGGCGAGGGCTCCAGGCCTCGCTCCGCCATCCCGGCTCCGCCAACCACACTCCGGAAGACGAGAGAGGGGGCCGAAGAAGGGACGGACTGACGCGGGCCCACACCCGGGTTACAGAATCCGGCTCCGGCCGCTGAGAGCCACCAGCACCGCCACCGCCGCCGCCGCCATGAGCGAGGGTCACGTGAGCGCGCGGCCCCGCCCCCGGGCTGAAGGACGTACTGCCTCCGAGGTGCTGTGAAGTCCAAGACGCGTAGGCTTACGGCGCCCTCTACAGGGAGTTGCTGGAGCGGTCTCCCAGGTCCCCCTCCAGAATTCTACGCGAAAAGGGCTCACGTTCCGGATGTCGGCTTTAGGGCCGCGTAGAATCTCCGCATTTATCTTTTATGAATTCGAGAGCAAGCTTTCTGGAGTCCGGATGTTACTTTCTGCAGTCCTCCTCACTTTAAGTATGCCTTTGTCCTTTCCTGTCCTTCATTTCCTCTACTGAACACCTATCCATTTATAAAGACCTGCTCCACATCCTTCACTGTAACTTTCCTGATTCTGCTAGGAGTGCTTTTGTCTCTGTACGGATTTGGGCTTTTAAAACACTAGAGAGGGAAACCCGCTTCCTCTGGCCTAGATTTCTAACGATTTACAAGATACTTTAGCCTTTTCTTTACCATTTTATCCCCCTCAGTACATGACCTAGTAGGTGTTCCAAAAATATTAACGTAAGGCGGGCGCTTTGGCTCACGCCTGTAATCCAAGGGACTCTGGAGGCTGAGATAGGAGGATCGCAAATTCAAGACCAGCCTCAGCAACTTAGCAAGACCCTAAGCAACTCAGCGAAACCCTGTCTTTAAATAAAATATTTAAAAGGACTGGAGATGTGACTCAGTGGTTAAAAGCCCCTAGGTTCAATCACAGTTCAAAAAATAATAATAATTTAATGGAAGAGTATTAACATTGGTGCATTTTTACCCGGAACCACTGGGACAGGTGCTTTTTTTAAAATTGATTTTATTTTTTAAATACATGACTGGAATGCATTACAATTCTTATTACACATATAGAGCACAGTTTTTCATATATCTGTTTATATATAAAGTATGTTCACACCAATTAACATGTCTTCATACATGTACTTTGGGTAATGTCCATCACATTCTACCATCATTGCTAACCTCCTTCCCCCTCCCTTCCCCTACCACCCCTCTGTCTCTCTACCCTACTATGGGTCAGTCACCTTATATCAGAGAAACAATTCAGCATTTGTTTTTTGGGGATTGGATAACTTCACTTAACATTATTTTCTCTAGCGCCATCCATTCACCTGCAAAGGGACAGATGCTTTAATTGCCATTTATAGTATTTTGTTTATAATATTGAAAAATTTGTCATGGAGATGATTGTTTTATTGACCTATTTTTTTCTCCCACAATTTGAGGGAATTTGTGTTTCCACTTCCTTTTCTTGTTGATTYAGAATTGGTCCTTTCAGAGACCAGGCCCCAACATGTATTCACTAGAAGTTCTAGATGGTATTTATATTATTTATGGGCTGRAACAAAAACTAAAAGGAAAAAAAAAAACTCAAGGATTTCTGCTTGAAAGAAGGGGAATATGACATCATGGGTGATTGAGGGGTGGACCTTGAAGGGGGTTGAACCTAGCGGGGGCTTAACCACTGACACATATCCCCGAGCCGAGTGTGTGTGTGTGTGTGTGTGTGTGTGTGTGTGTGTGTCACTGAGTTACTTAGGGCCTCTCTAAGTTGCTGAGGCTGGCTTTGAACTCTTGAGCCTCCTTCCTGCCTCAGCCTCCCACACTGCTGGGATTACAGGCCTGAGCCATCACATGAAGTCTTTTAACTTAATATAAGTAGAGTCTGTGGGGCAATGTGTATATGTCCTGTGATTTACATTAGAACTGTTGAGTGTTTTTTTAAAAAGCAATTAACCCATTGACATTCCTTCCTTGAAAGAATGAAGTCCATGTCTTTTCCCCTGAATCTGGATAATCACATGAAGGTTTGACCAATAGAATATGGTAGAAATGATACTCTGTGACTTACAAGATTAGGTCCTAGAAGACTGTACATCTTCCACTGGTTCTCTGGAAATGCTCACTCTTCAAGAAACCTCTCCCAGATTGATCTTCCCCACCCCAACCCCCACCTCTTTCTCTTTCTTTCCCTCTTCCCATGCCATCCTAGCAACCTTGCTGGGAGAAGCCTAAGCCATATGGAATACCATGTGAGGTGCTCTGCCCAACAGCCCCAGCTAAGCCCAGATTTCTAGTTCATCCTATCCCAGGGTGAAGAAGCTTCCAGGTGGTTCCAGGTCTGGACATTTGTCTTCCCGGTTGAGTCTAGACTATGTGGAACAGAGACAGACCATCCTTGTTGTGCCTTGTCCAAATTCTTGTGAACATAATAAAATGGTCTTCCTTTTATACCACTAAGCTTGGAGTGGTTTGATACACAGCAATAGATTACCAGCAGGGCTCAGCAGATATTCTTGTTTACCATCCCAGCAGCCCTGCTCTCCCCTTTTTCCTTGTCAGTAAACCAGACCAACCCCTACTGAGGCTAAACATAACAAAATACTCACTTTCCCACCCTCCTTGGCAGGTATTTAAGAGAACTACAAATGGGAGCATTTGGGGAGAATTTTCTTCCCTGGTGGGAAATGCACAGGAAAAACTTCCTTTCCCTTCCCTTCTGTCTTTGGATATTGTTCAGTTAAGTGTATCAGTAATAAGGGGGGAACCAAACCACAGAGACATCACGAAGAACTTCACAGAATTGGTCTGCCAAAATAATGAATCCTAAAACCACCTACATTGGACTTCTTGTTATATAAGAAAACAAGTTTAAACCTCTTTTATTTGAACAGTCTCCTGCTTACTGACTAAAACCTCCCATCTGATACTGAATTTGTTACCAAAAATGGAATATCACAAGTGAACAAAAAGTTGCAAGGTGTCTTATAAATTGTTAGCATGCAGGTCACATGTAGACTGAAAATTCAGGATTTGGGGCCTGAATTGACTACTTAATGAGGTTTTCATTAAATTCATACAAAAAGTAAACAGTCTGGAGATGTCCCAACTGATGACAAGGGGAAAGCTTTTCAGGCTAAAACCTAGGTTGACAGATGTAGCTTTGTTGGTTTGGGGAAGTCCTCTTCCCCCTCCCCCCTCCCCCCTCYCCCTCCCTCCCCATTAAGTATTTATTGGTTCATTGCATTTTAAGGTTTAGAGAAGTTCTGGCATCAGTCTTAATTTGATTCAGGCTCAGATGACATCAGAATGTGGTTTTTTTAATATTTATTTTTTTACTTGTATTTGGACACAATATCTTTATTTATTTTTTTTTTTCTTTATTTGGTGCTGAGGATCAAACCCAGGGCCCCAAACGTGCTAGGCGAATGATCTACCACTGAGCCACAACCCCAGCCCCCAGAATGTGTTTTCTTCCCATCTTTCTTCCATTATGTGTGTTTAATTCCTTTTAAGATCCACGTGATAGTTTCCAGAAGTACTTGGATCATGCTCCTTTTTTAACTTTTTTTTTTTTTTAGCTGTAAATGGACATAGTACCTTTCTATTTTAATTATTTATTTGTTTTAATTCGGTGCTGAAGATTGAACCCAATGTCTCACACCTGCCAGGCAAGTACCCTTACTACTGAGCTACAATGCCAGCCCTGGATCACACTCTTCTATAGGTTCCAGTCCATCCTAAGAGAATTCACCTTTGCCTTGGAGTTCCAGCCAGAGCACAGAAGTTAGTGCTTACTGGCTCAGATTGGAGGAAGTCAAGTTCTTCTACTTCCAAGGTCAAGTTAGGATAAACAAAAGCAAGACTATGAGAGATTTAACAGCTGATAAAATTGAAAAGATTGGGGCTTCRAATCTCTGGAGAACCTCAGGACCTCTTATTAAACATTCTTTGTTAGGTGAAGGGGGTGAACTTAGTAATGAAGGGAAACCTGACAGGAAAGATTAGAGTAAGGGTGAAATTCTCTCCCTCATGTTATTAACTCAAATTGTCTCAAGGAACAGACCTGTAAATGGAAGAAGGATGATTCACTGAGGACCACAGCTATGAGACACAAATTCTTCTGCTCATCCAATAGAAAAACAAGGTGTATCAGATATATAACATTAAATTTTCCCACTAATTACATGCTGTATAAAAAGACAGCATATTTCAATTTCTAATAGCCACATTTCAAGTGTTCCAATAATTTCATGAGGTTAGTGGCTAGAGTGATTGCCTGGGATGAATAAGGCCCTGAGTTCAATCTCCAGCACCAAAAGGAAAAAAAAAAAAAAAACTGGGTATGATGGCACACTTCTGTAATCTTCTGTAATCTCAACAGCTCAGGAGGTTGAGGCAGGAGGATCCCAAGTTCGAGGCCATCATGTGCAATTTAGAGAAAAATAAAAACTAAAAGGCCTAGGGAAGTAACTTAGTGGTAAAGTACCCCTGGAATCAATCCCCAGTACGGTGGGGGGGGGGGAGAGATGGAGATCTTTATCTACTTTATTTGCACAAGGGATTGACTAGATTAGATAGTCCAAATTCCCACTGAAGATTTTGCAGCCCCAAATACTCCATACCTAGCTTTAACTGACTGTAATCTAAAGCAACCCCTAAGCTTCAAGCTCTCACCAAAAGGAAGACAGATGCCAAAGTTTTCCAGTCCCCAAGAAGGACATATACCTAAAACATATAAGGTATGTTCATGAAGGATACTAAGACATTATAACTAAGACATTCCCAGAAGTCAGAACCAGAGGTTGCCCAACTAAACTAACACATTTACTCCATTTGTCAGGGTATGGTATCCTAACTAGTACTGTCAGGCACAGTCATAGCTTGTTTTTACTTCCTTGGGTATATCCCCCTAGATATATTTTTTATTTGATCATGTAGCTTGCTTTGACAGATGAGATAAAAGCAAACATAACACAGAGATTTGGAAAGTGCTTGGGTATTGAATCTTGCTTCCTCTCTACTTGTGGAAACTCTCAGACCATTATCAAGGTTATCATGTAAATGAATGTAAGCTAGCCTACTAGATGAGAACAGATATGTTCAGTTATTCTAATTATCCTAAGCAACAACCAGCCACTGCCAAGCATTTGAGGCCATAGACGACTGCTTGTTGATCACAA